TGAAAAAAAGTTAATTAGTAAATTTTATATATGATGTCAATTAGTTTTGATCTACATTAGTCCATCGTACACCCCAATAACTTATACTTTAGAAAAAATTGTGGCAGTTAAAAAAAAAGATATTCACGAAATAGCCAAAATAATCTTTTCTAATATGCTTCAACTCTTTAAAATCTCTTATAATATTAAATAACTATTAAAAATGCAAACAAAATTAAATTGTTTATTTTGCAAAATTATCAAAGGAGAAGAAGAATCATTTATTATTGCGAAAAACAAAGGAGCAATTGCCATTTTAGATAAATTTTCAGAAAGCAATGGTCACACTCTCCTTATCACCAAAAATCATTTTCCCTATATTACCGAAGTTGACGAGGAAAGTTGAAAATATTTATTGCCTTTAATGAAAGAAATTATTGAAAAATTAAAGGTAAATCTGCAACCGGAAGGGTTTAATATTATTAGCAATATGAATGAGGATATGGAAAAAAAAATTGCTTATCAAAGCATTCCTCATCTTCACATTCATATTATTCCCAAATACAAAAAAGATGAAGGATTTATTTGAACTACCAAGCCTAAACTAAGTTATAATTTAGAGCAAATAGCCAAAAAATTAAAATAATTATGAACTATGCAAATAATTTTAATGATGGTCAATTAAGGGAAAAAGATCATTGAGGAAAATATCACCTCTACTACTTTATCTTCGGTAGTCTTGTTCTCACCACTTTAATGATATTAATTAGTAATTTCAGTATTAACACTAAAATTAATAAGTTATTGAACATCCAAGGTTATTTTTCTGACTCTGATTCAAAAATAAATGATTATTCGCTTCGTTTGATGAGCAAACCATTTCTGGATTATGTTAAGAAAAGGATAGAAGGAGAAATTCAAAAAATTAAAAAAAACTTTCTTGGTGGTAGCACTAAAGAAACTAGAGAAGAATATGTAGAGCAAGTAATGTCTTTTCCTTGGACACAAGTTAGTCCTGAAAATAGCAATTTAAAAGAAATAAAGCAAGCCTTAGACAAAAAACATTTTGGAATGGAAAAGGCAAAAAAAACAATTATCAGATATTTAGCAGCTAAAAAACAGGCTGGAAAAAATCTTGGTAAAGTTATTTGTTTAGTTGGTCCGCAGGGATAGGAAAAACTTCTATTGCCGAATCTATTGCGGAAGCACTAGGTCGACCATTTGAGCAGATTTCCCTAGGTGGTGTTCATGATGAAGGAGAAATCCGTGGTCATTGATCCACTTATGTCAGTGCTAAGCCGGGAATAATTGTCCGAGCTTGCCAATGAGCAAAAGTAAAAAACCCAGTAATTAGTGTTGATGAAATTGAAAAAATGGGTAAAAGTGAACATCATGGAGATCCTGCTGCTGCTTTTGTAATCCTTGATCCAGAACAAAATGAAAAATTTAATGATCATTACATCGAATTACCAGTTGATCTATCCCAAATAATGTTCATTTGCACCACTAACTGAGCAGATACTATTCCTGGACCCTTATGAGATCGAATGGAGATAATTGAAATACCTTCCTACACTAGAAATGATAAACAAGTGATTGCCAAAAAATATTTAATTCCTAAATTATTAAAAAAATATAACCTTACCAAAGAGCAATTAAATTTTGATAGTTCGGCTATTCAAGAAATTATTGATCATTATACTTGGGAACCTGGAATACGGAACTTGGAAAGAAAACTTGTAGATATTATTTCTGAATTTATTATAAAAAAAGTGCAAGGAGAATTAGAAACTGAAAATATTACTTCAGAAAAGGCTAAAGAGTATTTAGGCAAACCCCCACTTCAAGATCAAGATGAGGTTGATTATGATAAACCTGGAATAGCAAATGGTCTAAGTGTTTATAATCCAGAAATAGGAGGAAGAAATGTTTTACCAATTCAAACAACTTTTTATCCCGTAAACAAAGGAGAGACTATCATTACTGGCAATTTAAAAAAAACCATGAAGGAATCAGTTAAGAATGCAATTTCCTATGTCAAGGCTAATGCCAAAAATCTTGGTATTCCAAATTCTTCTGATTTTGAGAAAAACAATGTTCATATTAATGTATCCAAAGGTGGTATTCCTAAATACGGTCCTAGTGCAGGAACTGCTTTTACCATATCTATCATTTCTGCTTTAACTAAAAAAATAATCGATAAGGATATCGGCATGACAGGTGAAATTGATATTAACGGAAATATTTCACAGATTGGTGGATTGCAAGAAAAAATTAATGCTGCTCATCAAAAAGAATTTAAAGTAGTTTTCATTCGCAAAAGCAACAAAAAAGATTTAGAAGATATTCCAGACGAAGTGAAAAGCAAAATGAAACCTATTCTTGTAAAAAATTGTGGGGAAATTTGGGAAGAGATAAAGATAAGGGGTTGATGTAAAGACGCGACAGTGTAAAATTAGTGCTAATTTTAGTTAAAATCAAAGTTTAAAGGCATTTTCTAAATAAAACTAACACATATATACAATAATAAAATATAATAAATTACTAAACCACCATGCCAAAATTTGATAATCTCCCTGCTTATTTTGAAGAGTTAAAATTAAAAGAAGATTCAACTTTTTCTTTACATGACTTAATTACTCAGTTTAAACAGCATATACCTACTAACTATTTAAAGATAAAACTTGAAGAAGGCAATTATGGTGGTTCGACTAATCCTAAATGAAAAAATAAACCTCTCTGTGAAAGATATGGTTTTGAATATGAAGGAGACTGAAAACAAATTGATATTCCTCATACTCTAATGAATAAACTAGGATTAAAGAAAGAAGAAGACATTACTCAACCTCTTTATTTAGATCCCAAGGTTTTAGAAAAAACAGAAACTTATAAAGGAATAACTATTGAAAATGAAAAAGAGATTATTCTAGTTAGCCCAAGCGATGAGATAATGATTGGTATTAAAATCAAAGGACTAGAAGAAATAATATCAAAGCAAACTAGGCAACTCCAAGAAAAAGATCAAGAATTGGCAGATTTAAGAACTGAAAAATTAGAATTAAAAAAATGAATTGATCAATTCCCTAACAAAAGTGCTAGTCAAGTTCAAGAAATAATTGATAATTTAACCAATCAAGTTAATACTTTGGTCAACCAAAATGCCATTCTATCCCAAATTAGCACTAGTCTTACCCAATGGTTAACAAAATTAGAAAAACAGCAACAAGTAAATGAAACCGAAAAATTAGTAAAGCTTAAAGTGTCTTCTGGTAAATATCAATATTGAACTGGAAACTTAATACTTATGCTTACACAGTTTAAATATTTACAAGAACAAACACAAAGATCTGATGATCCAAATATCACAGCGAGGAACAAAAATTTTTGGAATGATTTACATGCTAAATGTGGAGATAGAGCTTGACTTGATGATTTTAATACTCATCATGATTACGAAACAATAAACAAAGTTGTAAGCTATTTAAAATCAATAGGAATTAATTAAATTTAACTTATAATGCCAAAAGTTAACTAGCAGAGTATAAGTATATGGAAAAAGAAGATAAATACAGTAAACTATTGCTTGAAAGTGAATTATTTTTTTATGGTCCAACCAAAGGAAGTTTTATCTTGCCACCTCATGGTTATGCTTTATGAAAAAACATTCAAAATATTTTAGATAAAAAATTTGCTCAAAGAGGAGTCAAAAATGTTCTTTTGCCAACTCTTATTCCCCTAGAATTATTAGAAAAAGAAAAAAAACATATTGCCGGATTTAGTCCTGAATGTTTTTCGGTTGAAAAAATCGGAGAGAAAAAAATAGAAAATGCTTTAATTTTGCGTCCAACCAGCGAAGTAATGTTTTATGAGTGATACCGGCAAATTCTTCGAAATTACCGACAATTACCGCTTTTATACAACCAATGATGTTCCGTTTTTCGAGCTGAGAAAAATACTACTCCTTTTTTTCGTAATACTGAATTCTTGTGGCAAGAAGGACACACCTTACATAGTAGCAAAAAAGAAGCTCGTGAATTGGCTTTAAATATTCTTGCTGATTATCAAGATTATGCCGAAAACACCCTTTGTTTGGGAGTGATAGTTGGTAAAAAAACCGAGGGGTAAAGGTTTGCCGGAGCACTGGAAACCTACAACGTAGAATGTTTATTACCGGACGGACAATGTTTGCAGTTTGCCACCAGCCATTATTTTGGCGATAATTTTTGCCGCTTAATGGAAATTAAATATCAGGACAACGCCAACAAATTTCAATTTCCTCACTCTACTTCGTGGGGGACTTCTACTCGGGCTATCGGTGCAATTGCAAAAACTCATGCTGATAATTGAGGAACAATTTTACCTTTTGATATTGCTCCAGTGCAAATTGCTTTTATCCTTATCGAACAAAGTAAAGAATTAATTAATTACTTCCAAGAAATTAATAATTTACTAAGTCCTCATTATCGTTGCCAGTTGTATAATAAAAATTCCCGCGTTAATTTAAATGTTCTCCAAGCCGACAAAGAAGGTTGTCCGTTCAAAATAATATTAGGAAACGAAGAATTAAAAAAAAGTGAAATTACCCTCGTCAGAAGAGATAATGTAGAGCGAAAAATTACAATTAGTTTAGAAAGCAGCGAAGTTGAAAAAAAACTGCGGTAATATACAAAAATTTTATTGAGAAATTGAACGAAATTCATGGCGAAAATGAAAAAGTTCAAAAAGCGTTAGAAAATAAAAAGGAAGTTCTCATTGATTCCTTCCAAAAAGGAGAAAAGGCAGGGAAAATTATTGGGGCTATTATCAGAGAAAGAGCCGAATTTCATAAAAATCTTTACCAAAAAAGTGTAGATTTTCGGGACAAACATATTTACTTAGTAAATACTTTTTCCGAATTGAAAGAAAAAATAAAAGAGGAAGCAATTGGTTTATTTTTGATTCCTTTTTGTAATAAGTTGGATTGTGAAAAAAAAATAAAAATAAAGGTTCCTTCATATAGCGTTCGGTGCATTGCTTTAGAAGAAAAAAGCATCGAACTCTTAAACTGTCTTTTTTGCCAATCAGTAGCCCAACATAAGGTCTATTTAGGAAGGTCTTATTAACAAATTCATTTATAATTTTATTTTTTTATTTGTAAAAATTTAAACTTTAAATTAAAATTTTTCATAAAACGTTTTTATATAAAAAATACCAAGTAATTAATATAATATAAATTAATATGGTAACAACAATTGAGGAAATTAGGGAAGAAATAGAAAAAATAATAGAAGGAATAAACATCAAGGAAATTCGAACGAAAGTATATAAAAAACGACGATGGTTTAGAGACAGCACAAACGTTGATCCTGAAAATAATTATTGAAAAGATTTAGAAGACAAATTAGAAGATCCATCAACAAAAAAACTAATTAAGAGTTTTAAAGGCCTCGTTGAAGATGAGTTAATACAATATGACGAAAGAATAAATCAACTTTTAGGATTACTAGGGTATGAAGAACAATCTCCGGATTTTGAAGGCATAGACAATCCTGATATTCATACTCTTCCCGGCGAAGAAAAGATATATTGAACTGAATTAAATAAAATGCTCAAAAGAGCCCGAAATGATGGCATGACATGAAGTTTGGAGAATCTAATCGATATTATTATTGAAGTAAAGAAACACCTAGGAATTTCTGATGACGAATTAGATAGATTAACTGTTGACACCGACTTAGCCATGCCTACCAAACAAGTAGGAGGGGTTAACACTAATTTAATCCTTAAAGAAACAATTAAAATTTGCAATACTCTTTTACCCTATCTAACACCCACCAGAAGTCTCGACAAGTTAATTGACGAAGCAAATCATTACCAAGTCTTGAACGTTACTGATAATGATATTATTCGCGAGAAAGGCGAAATTGATAAAGGTAAATTAGAAAAATTGAAAAATAATCAAGAAAAGCACACAGATTACGATGCTATTAAAAATGAATTAAACAAAATTAAAAATTTATTAGGAATAAGTTCAGTTACTCCCTTACCAAGTAATTGGATAGATCAACTGGCGAAAAAATCTGACTTAGACACAGTTAAGAGCGCTTTAAATAAATGGACAGGAAAGTTTCTTAACAAAACACCAGAGCAAGTTGAAGCTGAACTTAAAAAGACAACTGGAACTGGAGTTGATCTTAGCGCCCTGCAAAAATTGACAGGAAAAGTTCAAAGTCAACAGGAATTGATCAATAAAATGACAAAAGCTTTACGAGAGACTGGAATGCTGACTGCAGAGTTAAAAAACCAGATCGAAGTGGTGAGTAAACAATAATTAATAAAAACGAAACAAATTTAATCTATGGCAAATTCAGATGATCTTCCCCTTTTCTTTCAAGAATTAACTAATGTTAAAAATGAATTGCAAAAAAGAAAAAGATTGATGGGATAAATGGATAAGTGAAGAATGGCGATCTTTTGTTACTGCTGATAAAAATAATATTCAAGTTGGCCTTTTGTCGGTGGCAATGAAATAAGTGACTATTGGGACATCAAAATTGTTGACCAATCCTCAGTATGGAGAGAAATGAAGGATTTTTGTCAAAAAGAGAATATTCACCAATATTATCGAGATAAATAGACAATTATCAAAAGTAAAATAGGCACTGATAGTTTTGAAAAAAAATACTTGTTTTGTAGGATCTGAAATTATTAATTTTTCATTTATTAAAAACTTTGAAGAGCAGAGATATTAAGTATTTTTACCTTTCTGTCATTTATTCTTTTTTACTCAAAGTGAATTCGATAGGTCTTATTGTTTTATAAAAGTAATACAGTATATAGGAATTATTCAATAAAAAATAAATTTATATACTTATACATTAATTAGCATATTATGAAAGCACAAGATTATTTAGTTAATTGAAAAAATAGGTATACTGGTAATGCCGCAGCACTTAAAAAAATAGAAAAAGATCCAGCGTTAGTGCCAGCAACAGAAAAGTTGGCTGGAGTTTTGGAAGTTAAGGATATTCCTGAATTAGAAGAGATCGATCTTACAGACGAGCAGGTAAGTGAATTGACTGTTATAAATTGTCCTAGTTTGAAAACAATTAGACTTGAGAACAACGCAACTACTAAGATAGACTTTACAAAAGTTAGGACAAGTGACAACACAAGTAGTGGCAATCCAGAAAAAAGCATTCTGGAAAAATTATATGTGGGAAACAACGATATTAAAGAAATTAATTTTAAATATAGTTCAGAATTAAAGATGATTTTCTTGCAAAATAACCAGCATTTACACCAGTTGACAGGACTTGACGAATTAACTAAAACAGATATAATAAATACCACTGACATTCCTGACGTTGTTTGACCTGTCCATTCTAATAAGGTAAATTATTGAAAAGAAGTAGTAAAAGTTGTAAAGGAAGAGTTGGGTATGGATCCTAAAGCAAATTTCGATAGAGATGCTAGTGGAAATGTTGATTTTAGTGCTTTAAGAGACAAAGTTGCTAACCAAAGAATAGAAAAAATTTTAGGTTGATCAGGTCTTGTAAAGGGCTCATCAGATCAGCAGATTGAAGAAAAAATAGAAGAGTTAAAGAGTAATAAACCTTCTTCTGATTATATCACCAAAACATCCTTGATATCAAGTGCTGAGAATAATCTTAAAGGTTTGGGAATTGATGAAGAGAAAATCAGTAGTAAATTAAGTGCTGCTGCTAGTGCACGAGATGTGGAAATTTCTAGAAATAAATTAGTTAGTGATCGATTTAATGAGTTTCAAAGTAAATTGCACAATGCTCATTATTTAAATATTGGATTAGGAACTCTGTCAGTAGGAATTTTAGTAATCTTAACCTGAATGATTCTCAAGGATAGAAAATTATTACCTGGTCAAGAAGAGGAGAATGAGGAAAAGGATTAATTTATATAAAATTTGTTGCAGTTCGTTGATATATTATTATTAAAACAATATTTGTAGTTATGTTGTATTAAGAAAAATTTAAATATCATTATAAAATAATATATATATATATATATAGAAATAAACCATCATGGACAGAAAAAGAGCACTTGAAATTTTAGGATTACCCGAAAACTCTTCTAAAGACAAAATCAAAGAAGCCTATCGTAGACTTTTTCGTAAATATCATACGGACAAATCTCCTGAAACTAAAGAAAAGTGTCAAGAGATAGGTGAAGCTAAAGCTTTTTTAGAAAATGAAGAAGAACCAAACAAACCGGAACTTTTTACATGTTATAAATGTAAAAAAAGGTATGAGGATGGACCACGTTGAATACGAATAGATACAAGCAATACTAAAATGTTTTGTTCCCCAAATTGTTTGAAAAAATGAGAAAAGCAGGAAAAGGGGAGAGACCTTGATAAGCCTTGCAAAAATTGTAAAAATTTGCATACCAACTCTGAACCGAAATGCGATATAATATCAGAAGCTCTTAGTGAATTAAAACTTTTAGATTACTGAAATTTTTTCTCTAAGGATAAAAAAAATTATTATAAAGCAACACTCAGGAGCATAAATAATTTTGGTATGCTTGAAGATTTTAAGCAAGATGTTAATAGAATTTTAAAAAAGGCCAGAAAAGAAAGCGAAGAAAAGAAAAATCAAATTAATCAAGAAAGAGAACAATATCTCGAGAAAGCAAAAGGTTTGAAAGGTTGAAATTTGCTTAGCAAAGAAAACCAAGAGAGGGCTATTGATGAAATACAACGCAATCATACAAGTACTCAGTTTAGTGATTGATTAAACTCAATAAAAAAGGAAATAGAAGAAAAAAATCCTGATATTCCCGATAATGAACTGAATGAACTAATAAGTGAAGCCGAAAAAGAAAAAAATTGGAATAATTTCCAAAATTTAAACAATCTTCTTACACAAACTAGAGTGACGACGAGTGGCGGGCGATAACCCACCACCACCATCCTTAAAACACTTACCTAACAACAGCCTCATCGGCATTTTGTTTTTGCTTTCTTTTATTAGTGTATATGACATTTTAAAAAAAAGAAGTTTTGTGATACGATTGACGCGTACACACTAATTATTTATCCATTGGTTTATTTTTTCTGGTAGGACAGACACGAATTGATTTTTTTTTTTTTTTTTGGAAAAACAAAAAACAATTTATTTTTTGACAGTCCAAGGTGACAAAACGTGAACGTTGTTGTT